TCCCTGCAGGTCAGTGGCTGCTGGTTTCTCCCTGCACTTGCTCCTCCCTCCCTGCAGCTGCTGGGCTGGCAAACATTACTGCCCTCAGTGCCCTGTCTCAGCCCATAAAAACTGCTGTCGTCACCCTCCTGTTGACACCCTGCTGGTATCACTGTCTTGGTGTCAACCTCCTGGTGTCAACGTCCCAGTGTCACTCTTCCGGTGCAGAGCAGCAGGTCTTAGGTGAGATGGGTGTCCCTGGGTGCTCTGTCCATGCTCGCCTACACAGAGCTGCATGCTGAAGGGTCCAGGGTGGTGGTTTTGGGGTAATTTGGGGTGCAGTCAGCACCCCTAAACCTTCCCATGATCTGGGGTCTCTTGCAATAACCCCTGGGACCCAGTTCCCTGCTCCCCAGTGGTCCTGCAGGAATGGGAGAGGTCCTTGCTCTGGGGATGCAGGCACGCTGTGGGCACTCCTGCCCTTGCCAGAGCTCTGGGCATGCTCAGTCCCTACAGTTGGGACCGGTGTCCCCAGCGGTGGGTGCAGTGATGGCTGTGGTCACCTCTGGTCTGTGCTCTGGTGCTATTACTGCCGTTCCCTGGCCTGCCTTAACAAGGTGATGAGGCTGCCCTGGCCATTGTAGCCTACTTGGTCTTTGCCTAGCTCCTTCCTGCCCCAGCAGCAAACTCTCCCAGTAAAATAAACCATTGGCAGAATGACTGGGAAAGTCAGGGGGAAAGGCTTGCCATAGGAGCATGAACAACAAACATGCATGAAATGGTGGAATGGAGAGAGCAGCTCCTCCTTTTAAGGCTGGTGAGACATTAGATGAGTCCCATCATGTCCATACCCATGGGATTTGCAGATCTCCCCATGACTACAGAATGCAGCTTTCCTTATGAGGCTGGCAAATCAGGAGTGTACCACATGTGCAGGGAGCTTGGGCAAGTCTGCTGCTGCTCCTTGCTCTAGAGCTGATAAGGACAGGGTGCAGCACCTATTCTTCCACCAAGAATGCAGATTCCTAGCAGGGACACCAAGCTTGGCCTGAACCTTCTCTCATTTCTTTAATGTTTTGGCTTTGCAGAGTGGAAATGTTTCCCGTGCCAGCCACCCTGATGGCTGTTGTTTACCTGACAAGGTGCTCTTGCAGCATTTCAGCAGCAGTGAAGAGAGTTTGTAGAGTCTTAAACTGAATCACAAAATCCAAGTGCAATGCTATAAACCTAGCCCCTGTTTTTTTCATCCTGCAGTAACAGTGCAGAGGTATAAAGATATAATTTATTCAAGAAAGATGGTCATGGTGAGGCTATTTTATCTCATTAACTTTTGCTAGAGTTTCCCTATATCCCAGGGATTACAAGCCTCTTAATGAGGACATGCACATGTGACTTTGCAGAATTGCTAAATCCTGTCTGTTCTGCATGTAGGGATGAGCCAACTTTGAAATTTTCCCAGTCTAGTATCCTCCCTTCCCTTTGCCAACCCTCCCACCACCCTCATCAAAAAACCCCCAAAAACAAACAAACCAAAAAAAAAAAAAGATAGTCAAGTAGTCAAGACTTTTAAGTCTGCTTTCAGAGCAGAAGCTGCTTCATTGCATTAGGTGAAAGGGAAAGCATAGAGTAATTTGGTACTTCTTCAGGGTAAAATCCCTTTTCCACCCTGGCCCTGAATTTCTGAGGTGCTGGCTGGTATCGAGGTTTCATAGAAATCAAAGTGCCATGCACACTGTCACTCCCAGCCACCCAGCACAATGGTGAAGAGACCCATATGTAGAAATCATCACTTTGCATTGCCTAACTTTTGTATGAGGGCCTTAGCCTTGAAAAGCCTGTTGTTTTTTAACAAGGCTGGAGGTTGCATCACTGACTGCAGAACTTCTGTTAGCAACGTTAGATTTGTGAAATACAGGTACTTAACACCATCTACTTTGTTCTGCTCCACTTCTCTCTCATTTGCTGGATTTTGTTCTTTAATCCTCTCAAAATGCTTATCTTCTCTGATCTGAGTAATCTGAATATCATCTTTAGAGTTGGCCATGGAAAAAAGACAAATTTAACTCTTTAGTTGCCCTAGCAATTGCTTTCATTTGCTATGGAGGAATTTGATACTCGGAGGTTGGAAACAAAAAGTAAGTTCCCATCTAAGTTTTTATCCAGGGAAGTGGTCACAGCACCAAGCCTGAGGGAGTTCAAGAAGCATTTGGACAATGCTCTCAGGCACATGGTGTGATTCTTGCGGCTGTCCTGTGCAGGGCCAGGAGCTGGATTTCAGTGATCTTTGTGGGTTCCTTCCAGCTCGGGGTATTCTATGATTCTATGATCTGCTCTAGCCCATATGAACATGGCCTTTCAATAGTTGCTGCAAAAACTTTTAGTTTCTTATAGGACGTTACAAAATAAGCTAAATTAGCCTGAAAACAAAATCTTACTCTGGATACAAAGGTCTGTGGATAGACTGAAGTAAAATTCCTGGCTGTAAGGCCAAATTACGGCTGAAATATGCTGGCATAATAGTCCTAGATTCTGAGGGTTTAGAAAAAGCCCTGTTGAATATTATGGACAATGCTTAAAAATCATTGAGCTGCACCTTTAGATTCCTATATTTTCAGGTTATTAAACACTTGCTAGATCTCTGGAACCAAGGGCCACAGAGCCAACATAGGTAATATACCAACTTTTGGAGACTTACACAGATAGCACCAACTTTTGAAAACCTCTGCAAACAAACCACAAGGTTCACTCTTTGTTCCTGTCGATAGTTTATAAAGATATCTACTATGTAATAAACAATTTGTTTTTCCACCTGGGACCCTAAAGGGAGTAAAAAAGTGTTTTTAGCAGTCAGACACCATATTTCTTATCTATAGGATACAAAGTCCTCCTAAGAAACTGGCTCTGTAATAACATCATAGTATATCCTGGCAAGGGAAAGACCATTTCAACCATTAAATTCCCAGAGCATAACAAAGCAATGAATAAACACAGAATACATGCTTTGTTGCCATCATCCCGTATTTTATTACTTCCTTTTTTTGAAAAATCCAGTTCAGAGGGTAACTTACTTAAGCTCTTTCTGTCTGATAACCAAACCTGCTGGAAGCAGCCTAGGCACAGAGGAGGGGAGCAGCAAGGAAAAGCAGCAAAATTGTGTAGCAAATTGCACCTTGCAGCTCAGAGCACAATGTTTATGTACCTTGGAAGACTTTGCTAGGTAAGAGTTTTTTTGCTGCATGCCATTTGTTCCCTAAACTGTGTTGGATCAAGTGTATAATTATATGTGTGGGTTTTAGTTGTCATTTTGTCTCCAGCTGCTTAAATAACTGCTTCCAGGCATGGCGTTTATATTCAAGGGACAACTTTCCAAGAGAGCCATCCCAGATGATGTACGTTTTGCTCTTTAGCACTTTTAGGGCTCAGAAGAAGCCCAGAGCCATGTTTAGACACCTGACAACATGACCGGGCAGGTGGTGATGTTCCATAGGCAGCAGCAATGGACTCAATGTGTTAAAAGTTGTCTGGGAGCAGTTGGAAGCTACTGGTGACATATTAGAACAAACTGCATGTCATTATTGGCATTATCATCAAACAAATGAAGGATTTGTTGACTTCTCTCAGCATAAGAAGTACGAGCACTTTTAGCATCTCACTGTGAAAAAGGATGCCACTTCCAAGTCCGCCCTGTGGCCTCTCATTCCTTGGTCTGCCTCTGGCACTGCTAGTTCATGGAAAAAATGCAGGGATTTGTTTAAGTCTCAGGGCTGGCATCCAGGGGACTGACTCTTGACAGCAGTGAGGATTGCTGTCTTCCTTGTAACAAGAGAACAGAACTTCCTTGGTGGGAAGCTAACAGGGTAGAAGGCAAAAGGAGAAAAATGAATCACCAAACATCTTTTTTTTCTTTTCAGAGCTCAGACGAAACACAGGTTATAAAGGCAGTATCTGTGCAACAGCAAAGTCTCATTTCTGCTAAGAATACTAGTAAGGAGTCACCACAGAGGTGCAGCACTCCCAACTGGAAAGGAAAACTCCCAGACTATCTAGCCCTTGACTCTGCCATGGTCATGAAAACAACTGGCTCAAAGAAATACCTCCAGCTGCTCCTTTTTCAAGTTGCTCTTCTAGGGCCTGTCTTCTGTGGGAAGATACTGGTTTGGCCAACAGAAGGCAGCCACTGGCTGAACATGAATGTAATTATACAGGAGCTCATCCGCCGTGGGCACAGCTTTACCATCCTGGTATCCAATGCTACCCTCTTCATTGAACCCAGGCCTAAAGCCACGGAGAATTTTGAGACCTATAATGTGCCCTTCAAAAGAGATGTTCCTGAGAGCCTGATTAATGGAATAGTGGACCTATGGCTCAACAACAGACCAACCATCTTGACCTTCTGGCAGTTTTACAAGGAGCTGGGAAGATTGTCTGTAGGCTGGCAGGAGATGAACAAGATCATGTGTGATGCAGTGCTGACCAACAAAGAGCTGATTGCTCGTCTGCAGGGGTCTGGCTTTGATCTGCTGCTGTCAGACCCTGTGACCCCCTGTGGGGAACTCCTGGCTCTCAAGCTGGGCATTCCCTTTGTCTACTCGCTACGTTTCTCCCCAGCCTTCACTCTGGAAAGGCACTGTGGCAAGATCCCAACCCCACCATCCTACACACCTGCAGCCCTGTCTGAGCTCACTGACCACATGTCTTTTGGGGAGAGAGTAAAAAACTTTGTGTCTTACCACCTGCAAGACTATGTTTTCCAGAGCTACTGGGGACACTGGGATATCTACTACAGCAAGGTCTTGGGTAAGCCTTCTGATACTTCACTTCTTGTTATACAGTCTGTCCTTATGTTCTAGTTTCCTGCAGAGCTAGGAACTCACCAGGGTCAAGAGAGAGGTCAGCAAGAGTTTGTCATTATGTCCTTAAAATGGGACTGAGCCACTAGCAGTCAGGGTGCTGTGCTGCTATGCCATTGCACTGAGACAGGCTATGGGTCATCCCAACAGACGGATTTGACTTTTGTCGTAATTTTAGTGTGGAGTTTGATACTTCCACACCGTGCAGCGCACTCAGCAAGGGTGACTGCTTGCAAAGAAAGCAGCCAAGAACAGAGCCATCTTCCTCATCCAGAGGACCATAACAAGGAGGGGAGAGCTGGTGAATTACAAGCCAGCCTTTGTCATCCTCAGCAACAATATTTAAGTGCATTGTGGCTTTGTAATAGAGACTTCACTTGTGTCACTGGTCCTATAAAACCAATTCTTCCTGCACAAAACAAGTTTTATTTAGAACATACCCTCCCACCCACAAAGCGAACAGTGAAAACAACAAATTTTTCTCTGCAGGCTTTTATTCTGGACTGTTTTGAGTCATCATGTAGAAAAATATGTTTATTATTAATCACATGTCATTTCTACCTTCCCATTGAGCTCTTAAAAAAGACTTCTTTTTCTCAAATCTCTCAGGGTTCAATTGCCTGCAAATACCTGCATGATGCAAGACCCCACAAATATGCCAATCTGGGGTCATGTGTACAGTACATGATGTATCTCAGCTTGGCTCCTCACAGTCCAGCTGTTTCCATGACCCACATTTTTGTCCCAGAAAGGGTGCTCTAGGCAGCATGGAAACCACACCAGAAACTTTGGACAAAAACATTAGGAAACCATTGTGTAACAGCACTGGGCAGAAACCCTGTAATAATGATTTTTAGGACACAAAAGAGAACTTAGAGTATTTCTTAATCGCACATCAGGACAGACAATATAAATAAAACTGTTTAATGGACTTCTGGTTCAATTTATAGTTCATAATTGGTACTTAGTGGCTGGCAGGAAGCCTGCACTATTCTCTCCTGGTCTCCCACGGTGCTCTGTAGGAGGCAAATTCACATGGGGACAGTCTTACTCTGATATCGGAGTAATTTGCTGTGTAGTTTCATCCACTTCGAGGTACAACTCTTTGGCTGCAACCCTGGATCACCACTTTATGTGCATTCTAAAGGGATTCTTTGTGGCATTATGAAAGTAAAAAGATGCCCACAGTCATCTTTGCTGCCTACCCAGCTGTGTTTCAAAGAGCCAGAAAAATGAAAAAGTCACCTCTTCTAACACACAAGTAATGCAGAGACTGTAGTTAGATTACCAACAGGATACAATCCTTGCTGGACTAAGCCCCCCAGGGCTGACAGCTCTCCCTGCTGCTCCAGAGGGATCACATCTTCCAGCTTCAGCAAGCTGTTCACCACCAGAGGGTGACAGCCGGTGCCAGTCACCTTTTTTTTATGCCCTAGGAAAACATGATATTAAGCATGCTATTATCCAGTACAGGATTTCACACTGCCTACCTTTGGCTCCCTGCCCTCGGGATCAAGGCAGTGTCATGCATGCCCAGCCCAGTTCAGGAGTGCCACTGCTCCCGGTGAAGGAAGGCCACAGGGGCATTGCCACACAGG